GTATAGGATATCATAATGTTTTTATTGTGTGCTAAAAACATACTAGTTAGTATAGGATATCATAATGTTTTTAATGTGTGCTAAAAACATACTAGTTAGAATAGGATATCATAATGTTTTTATTGTGTGCTAAAAACATACTAGTTAGTATAGGATATCATAATGTTTTTAATGTGTGCTAGAAACATAATTTTCATAAATTATAACTCGTCCCAAACTCTAAACTTTTGATATTTCAAACTATGAATTCTACCAGAACAAACTGTTAAAGTTAAAATATCAAAGGTTTATATTCCATCAGGTTGCACAGATAAAGAGTTTAAGGCCAGTTTTTACTTTTTCTTATTGAATATACAATACATATCCCTGATCGCTAGTAGGCTGTTATATATAGAATTTAAACGATTCAGGAATTCAGAAATTTGAATGTAAAAGACTACCCATAAATTAGAATTCATATGCACAGAAATATGCATAGAAAAATCATTCATCAATTCATATCTACCCATCCAACCGTTCATCCATCCTTCTATCCATCCTTCTATCCATCCTTCTATCCATCCTTCTATCCATACTTATATCCATCTTTCTATCCATCTTTCTATCCATCCTTCCTATCTTTTATTTGAATCGGTTAAAACTAAGTAGTACAACTTGCTTATCTTAAATACGCTTTTAAATTTATTTTCTCCTTTTTGTTGGTCATGCATCTCTTCCTTTCTATCTGTATAACTCTCATTTGATTCATTTGAACAATGAGAATTTTAGAAGTAATCCTGATTATCGTCCAGGGGTGTATATTTTCTTGAAAAATCATTTCCCCAGAATTTAGGTATGTTTGCGCGGAGTTTTCTTCGCTGAATTTGGGAAATTAAATGAGTTTTAGGGATAAATATATTAACAAATGTTTTGGAATAAAGTATCAAAAATTATGTCAAATTTTTATATGAACATTTTTTAACATATCTATGTAGTTATCTAAACAATTCTATAAATAATACGTCATATTAAGAAGTTATTTTTTACTATCTTGTACATTTTTTTTTAATCCCAAAATATTTATCAATTGTTCAATTCTATTTCTCGATCCATTTGCTTTATCTCCGTCTAATCCGTACCCACTTATATATGTAAATTCTATTTAAATCTCTTTACTGCAATCCATTTAGATTCTACATTCAACCATGTTAGAAAACTGGCCTTTTCTAAGTTGTCTCCTCCCCCCCCCCCCCACATCCATGAAACAGTTCCCCTTTCCTCATGCATAAACAATGACCGTTTTCTGTAAAATTTCTGATGGAGTGTATCCCTGCTGTTCACAAAAAACGGTGATTGCTGGTTCAAATATTTTCGGTAAGGAGAAAATCTTCAAATTTTTTTTTCTTCCAATACCAATCTGATCTCTCTTCCAACATCAATTTGATCTCCCTCTAATCTCCCTCCCAATACCAATCTGATCTCTCTCCCAATGCCAATTTGATCTCTCCCAATACCAATCTGATCTCTCACCCAATACCAATCTGATATATCTTCTAACACCAATTTGATCTCCATCTAATCTCCCTCCCAATACCAATCTGATCTAACTCCCAACGCCAATTTGATCTCTCTCCCAATACCAATCTGATCTCTCACCCAATACCAATCTGATATATCTTCCAATACCAATTTGATCTCCCTCTAATCTCCCTCCCAATACCAATCTGATCTAACTCCCAACGCCAATTTGATCTCTCTCCCAATACCAATCTGATCTCTCACCCAATACCAATCTGATATATCTTCCAATACCAATTTGATCTCCCTCTAATCTCCCTCCCAATACCAATCTGATCTCTCTCCCAACACCAATTTTATCTCTCTCCCAATACCAATCTGATCTCTCATCCAAACCTAATTTGATCTCCCTCCCAATACCAATCTGATCTCTCTCCAAATACCAATCTGATATATCTTCCAATACCAATTTGATCTCCCTCTAATCTCCCTCCCAATACCAATCTGATCTCTCTCCCAACACCAATTTGATCTCTTTCCCAATACCAATCTGATCTCTCACCCAATACCAATCTGATATATCTTCCAATACCAATTTGATCTCCCTCTAATCTCCCTCCCAATACCAATCTGATCTCTCATCCAAACCTAATTTGATCTCCCTCCCAATACCAATCTGATCTCTCTCCAAATACCAATCTAATCTCTCCCAATACCAATATTATCTCCCTCCCACTACCAATCTAATCTCTCTCCTAGTACTAATCTAAACTCCAGGAAAAAGTTAAAAATTTTTTTGTTAAAGTTAGTATTTATCTTTACTATCTATCTACCTCTATCTGGTGGTTTAACAATACAAATAAAGATAAGTCAACAACATGGACACTGCCCACATGGATAAAAGGAGACATGTTTTGTTTCTCTAAAATTCAACAACATATAACGGTTAAACAAAATCGGACCATGCAATGAGTCAGAAAAAAGCACGAAAAAAACTTTTAAAACTCCCGCTCTGAAGAAAAACTCCCGAAAAGAAAAGCTAGATAAAAGAGAGGCACAACGTTCTTAGTTTTTAGTTGTAGTCATATATGAGAAAGTCAAATAATGAATTAAAACCACAGAAACAGGTTTTAAACAGCCATTAAAATTAAGTGCTGATCTATTTTATTGAACAAATTGTACAGATGCAATAAAGTAATATATCTCTTGTGCATTTCATTAAATGCATGTTTTATTAGAAAATACAGAAAATAGAACTTAATTAAAACTTGATAAAGTATAAGAAAAGTCTTTTTGTAAAATTAATAGCATTAATCAAAAATCTTTTATGAAAAATCTTCATTAAATATATTTTTTTTCAGGGAAGAAGGCCAATGGACTACCACGTAGCAACTCTCTAGGGAGTGGAAGTTTATCCCCGCCCATGCCACGTAAATCCCGCCTCCAAGCCTTGGGCCGCCTCTTTAAACCCTGGAAGTGGAAGAAAAAGCGTAAGAACGAGAAATTCGAAGCTGTGTCCAAAAGTAAGATTTTTCTTTGCCTTCAGATTTTCTTTTTAATACAAAAAAAAAATAATTAAGATTACTTCAGCTAGGCGTGTTTACAATTTTATACTTAAAAGCTTTGACTGATCTAAAACAAAAAAGATATTCATGATTTTCTATTTGAAAAGTTATTATTGTGGAATTAGTCTGCTGGGTTGGTTTCTTGTGCCTTTAAAGGCAGTAGGCGCGTCATAATAAATAAATAAATTAAGAGAGATTTCACATAATTTTACCACGACATTCACTTATGAGATTTTTGAAAAGTGACTGTCCTTGAAAATTGAAGTTAAACAAACTTAGTTTCTGGATTTGTTCTTAAAGAGCTTTTCATCTAGTCGTTTATTAAACCAAAATGACTGAAAATTGAGAAAATTTGTTCAGGTTTAGAGCGTAAGATATCGGTTCGAACGAGTAAGGAGGAGCTGATACAACGAGGGATACTCCTGCCCGGAGAGGTGGGTGGACACGCCCCCTGGCAGTCCAGCCCCGCCCCCTCACACACCCTACCTCAACAAAACAACAACAAAACAGGTAGGAAGAGTACACACAATCAAATATAGAACTTGTGAAATCTCATTCATTTAAAACATCCTAAAATTTTTTCGAAAAATAAAAATAAGAAAATAGATGTGTATTTTTAAACCAAAATTTTCCACAAGAAAACACTATTCACCCCTAGTGCATTCTTAACCTTTAACCCTTGAACTATAGTGCCACTATCATTAGGTGCACACATCCATACATAGCTTGCTAGTAGAGACAACTTTTTCTTCGCTAAACATTTGTAAGATTTAGCATGATTATTTAACTATTTACAGTTAGCTTCTTTAACAGCCACGCCTTGGGGAATCAAGAAGCATCAATTATTTTTAATCTTTCTTAACTTTTCTACATCCTGTGACGCAACTGCTTATTGTGTGCTTAGCTTCTAGGCCGGGTTTCCTTAATCATCTACCCTCGTGATGTTTTAGCCTTTTAACTACGCAAAATTTGCGTAATTGCGGGGGGGGGACTGGTTGCATGACGCGGGAGAAATTTGAGCACTTAATAAATTCTTGAAAGATCTTGATCCCGAACTCGGCTTAGCAAACGATGAGAGAGAGATTAGCTTGGGATCAGAAAATCCGCGAAATCATTCTTCAGCTTTCTTTTTCTTCCTCATCAGCTGTTTAAGGAAAATGTATTTTATAAAATTGTTATTTTAACTTCAAGTGACACTTTTTAACATTTTTATCCTCACCTGCCACAAATTACGAAATCCGTAAACAATCTTAACTAAAAGGAGGAGCAAAGACGTCATTCATTCCATAGTTTTCTGCTTTTCACTGTAGGATTGGAAAACTATGCTAATTCGTTTCGATCGTTTCGCAGATTTTCGGTGATGTCGAACCACATTAAAAATGTAAGAATGTACTAATTGTATGAAATCTTATTGTAGCTATTCTTAAATTTATGTCGTGATTATTTTTGATGTTAAATTTCCACTCCCCGGGAGTCATGTTTCCTTTTCCGGTTCTACAGTGAGGAGACCCATAAAATCAAACATTTTGATGTGTATTTAATATTTAATGGTGTAAAAGATTTTTAAGTGGCAAAATTAATTTATCAACTCAAATAGTGTTTTATGTTCATCGGACCAGGAGAATGGAGATCAAGTTACTAAACCGGGATGTTTGTGTCCCAAAGATTCTAGGGGGGGGNTCTAGGGGGGGGGGGTAAGTAATCCCAATACCCCCCTTATTTACGCCACTGGTACCACACATTTTCTAGGGTCCAACTGTATTCTTCTTAAAGCATGAATTAGATATCAATGTTTAAAGTTTTGAAAACAGAAAATTTTCAATAATGGTTTCCCATCAGAATTTACTTGCCCATTTCTGTCACATTTTTGATTAGATTTTAAGGTTTAAAGGGAAACGTTGGGGATCGAGAATTGCCATTTTAGCATGGAGGGTCACTTAAAACTATGCTTACGGTCCCTTTAAATTATTTTGTAAATAGCTCAATCTTAGAAACATTTTTGCAATTACGCGAAGGAAAAGGTAAAGGGGGGGGGTTGTAGGAAAATAAGAAATATTATACTGAAAGTTCTATCGTAGAGTTTTTGGGCAAATATAAATGACTTGTCGGGAAATAAATGAATATTTGGATAGAAGTATCTTACAAAAAGTTGTTTAACCATAAGAGTTTATAATCAATTTTTATTCTTTTCCCTTGAATTTTTGAAAATTTTACCATCAGCCATTAGTTATTATTTTTTTCCTATGAAAAAAAAAATTTTTTTTGTCAGCTGTCAAAATTGGTTTTTAAAAATTTAATTTATTTGTTTTAGCGCGCACTTCTCCTCTGGATTTGTCTCTGCGGCACGAACTGAAAATTTCGCGCACGCACTAAAATTATCGCACCTTCACGGGGGTTTGAGATATTGTCAAATTGTATTTCCGGCCTTTATCTGATGTGTTTAAACCAGACCAGACACATCATTTAAAATAGTGCAATTCTTACCTCAAGGCTATAATGAATCTTGAGCAAACTTTTTGCCTGAACTCCATTTTTTTTTTATTTCGCGACAAATTTAATTTTATTTCCCAGATTAGACCGATGATTTTTATGATCATTTATCTGGGCCCGAAACCACTGCTTTTAAAAATAATCCCCCACCCCCCTAGGGCCTAGATGTTAGGTTTTATTTAGTTATTTGCTGAAATTCAACTGCTGGATTTCCAAATTTAAAATCAAAATTTCTAGGAGGCAAATTTTGTTATTTGGATCTCATTTCGCCACTTTTCAGGATCTAATATTGCCCACACTTGGAAGCTTATGAAAATCCTTTTTTGATCTCATTCTGCTCCATTTAGGATTTCTCTTAGGATCGCATATTCCGCCGTTAAAATAAATATCTCATCCCAGTTCAAAGAAAAAGAAGCTGATCACTCTCGTTAAACTTTTGTTTTTGATTCTATTAACTTTGCAGCCTAATCGTGTAAACCTTTAATATTTCAAACTGTGACTGTTTTAACTAGCAGAGTTCATAGTTTAGTCTAGGACATTAATTTGCTAAGATAGAAGAATATATCACAAATTGTCAAGAATTATATTTTCTATTGTTTAGTGAGGGGAGGGGGGTATTTTTTCCGTCTTGTAATATTATCTGTTTTGACTGATATTTAGTTCCTAATTATATCCTTGGTTTAAATTGTTCAATCCTGCCTGGGGCGCTAATCCAACCTAATTCAGATCTAGAAATTATAATTAAATCATCAGTTCTCATGTCATTCCTTGGGAAACAATAAATGTTAAATGCTGGTTCTATTTTATATATTTTCTACCCCCCCCCCTGCCCTTCTCCTGCTCCCATTTGTAGGAGTACAATACTATCCAATATGATTCAAATAATCATATCTTTACCAAGTTTGGCGAATCTCAATCAAGATGTAATGATTGTATAATGAACTCCAATTCATCAGAATAATTATAATATCCTTCCTTCCTTCCTTCCTTCCTTCCTTCCTTCCTTCCTTCCTTCCTTCCTTCCTTCNGTGGACGTTTTCTATACATTCCCTTTAAATATTCAACTTGTGAACGTTTTTTATACATTCCCTTTAAATATTCAACGTGTGGACGTTTTCTATACATTCCCTTTAAATATTCAACTTGTGGACGTTTTCTATACATTCCCTTTAAATATTCAACTTGTGAACGTTTTTTATACATTCCCTTTAAATATTCAACGTGTGGACGTTTTCTATACATTCCCTTTAAATATTCAACTTGTGGACGTTTTCTATACATTCCCTTTGAATATTCAACTTGTGAACGTTTTCTTGCATAAGATTAAATCTAACTCTTTGCATCCCAATTTGATTTATAGTCGAATAATTCATATGACATTCCATAAACTACAGCAATCAATTTAATATTTATTTTAGTTAGGGTTTAATTTGAAATATGATTTTAAGAAGTTCAATTATTTTAGGGAAGCTAGAATGTCTCACATATTGAGTCATTATTATAAACTAATCGATAAATCTATATAATAAAACAAGACCATCCTATATTTGTTTCATATAGCCGGCCAAACGGCTGGACCGAATGGGCTGACATTTTTTTATGGAACCCAGGGCTATCCCGGGGGTAACATAGGCTGAAAAAGTCCAAAATTTTTTTTTTTTTTTTTAATTCCACGGGGAAAGCCGGGCACTTCAGCCAGGAAATAATAAAATTTTTGTAATTTCTCAAGCAAACATTCATCAAAAACCTGTATTATTAAAAGAATCTACTACAGGACATAAAAAGGCTAATTAATACAAACTACTTGTTAGAAAGATATTTGAAACAATAATTGCGATGATTTTATTGGTTCTTGAATTGCTAATAATCCTATTTGAACCAACCTAACTTTTTATTCAGACAATGTGCATTAATTTACGACGTTGCTGCCTATGTTTAAGGGTTCATTAATTTATGATTATTACCTTTTTTTTACATTTATTATCAACTGCTGTATTTAAACCAAAATATAGGGGTCAAATGTTGCACTAATGTTGTACAGGTCGTGGGTTAAAAATGTAGTACATGAAAATAAAAAAATGAAATTAGCTTTAACCCCCCCCCCCCCCCGCCTCATGTCCCGAAGTGTGTGATGTTTTTGCAATTTGTTTAATATTTTATTTTTAAACCGTTTGATGTTTTTTATTTGCTCGTTTCTATTTTTCTGTTGTGCAAAATTACTTTAGATTTTGCAAGCTAGACAGGCTTTCGCATATTTATAATAATTATGCAATGTAGGATATCTAATAAAAATATTTGTTTGATTAATTTGCTGGCCTGGCCTGGACAGCTACTGAAAACCAAGTTAATCATTCTCCAATTTCCATTCACATTTAGAATATATTAATTTTAAAAAATCGATAAACCTTAACATATTATTTCTTTTGCTGGACTGTGTTTATAATTTCAATGACTACATAAGATTTTGTCGATTTTTTTTTAGCTAAAAGTGGATTATTCGACTAATTTCCTCCATTGTAGAAATCAATCATTTCGAAAAAAACCCTACGATTGAAAATTATAAATTTTTAAAGAGAAAATTAAGGATACCTCATGTTTTATTGTTCAGACAAAGCTTTTTGGGGTAGCAGTGTGTATCTGCATTCTGCATACCCCCCACAAATTAATGTTGTTTTGAAATATGCCTTAGGCCCTAAAATAGATCTGCTAACTGAATACAATGTAATGTAAACCAGACAAACCACCTAATTAAAGGTCCCAGTATATAGATGCGAATCAGAGTTGGAACTATTGATCAAGAAAGAAGTAGTTCAAATAGGTTTGCATAGATGATCTACTTCTATACTCATGAAATAAACTCTTCTTCAATTAGATTTAATACTTAAACGAGGCAGACGCGCAGACCTAATCAAAATACTAATCGTTTTTTTGACTCACTGCGCTATGAACATCAGACAGAGATAGTTTAAAGACTTGAAATTTTGTAGTGTTCAATATTGAGTAATTATTTTTAGCAGAGTGGGCAAATTGCAGGGAAAATGTGCCAAAACCTATTCTCAGCGAGAAGTTAAGGTTCAGTTTCAAATAGTTTTATTTCGTGATGTAAATCTAGCGAAACCTGAGTTATTTACTTGCTAATGGTCTTCTTAGTGAAAACTATCCTGTGTTTTTATCCTTAATACCAGGTACTGATTACAGGGGGAGTGAACAGGAGTTGAATATTCACTATGTTACCAGGTTTCAGGATCTCTTTCAAGGCCAATTCTGCATGTTTTTAGTTCACAAATTTTGCCTTTTTATTTTTTGGCCATTGTTATTTTTCTCTTTTTCTCCTTTTTCTCTCTAATCTTTTTGATCTTTTTCATCTTCATTTGTAGGTTTAGTTTCTTTTCTTTTTACTTTTAACTAATCTGTGTTGTTTAGATTTTATCTCACTTAAGCATGTTCTTATACTTTCTCCAATCTTTTTGACAAGTTTCTCCTTTTTTCGTAAATCCTCCTTTTTCTCATTAATCCTCCATTTCTCGTTAATCCTCCTTTTTTCGTTTATCCTCCTTTTTTTCGTTAATCCTCCTTTTTCTCGTTAATCCTCCTTTTTTTGATTAATCCTCTTTTTTTCGTTAAACCTCTTTTTTTTCGTTAATCCTCGTTTTTTCGTTAATCCTCCTTTTCTCGTTAATCCTCATTTTTCTTGTATAACTTCCTTTTCCCGTTAATCCTTCTTTTTTTCTTTAATCCTCCTTTTTCTTTAATCCTCCTTTTTCTCGTTAATCCTCCTTTTTCTCATTAATCCTCCATTTCTCGTTAATCCTCCTTTTTCTCATTAATCCTCCTTTTTCTCGTTAATCTTTTTTTTAATCCTCTTTTCTTTAATCCTCCTTTTTCTCGTAAATCCTCCTTTTCTCATTAATCCTCCATTTCTCGTTAATCCTCCTTTTTCTCGTTAATCCTCCTTTTTCTCGTGAATCCTCATTTTTCTCGTGTATCGTCATTTTTCTCGTTAATCCTTCCTTTTCGCGAATTGCTTGTTTCACTGCATCAATGCCCTTTTCTATCCACGTCTTGTAAGTATTTTCTGCATATTTGTTATTTGATTTTTTTATGTTACTTTTTTATTTTACTTTTGAAGCTTTTTGATTGACGTCAATTGAACTCCATCCACTCACTATGCACCTCACTTTCCCCGTATTTTACCTACCCCCCCCCCCCCCTGTTTCACCATAGTTTACCCCATTTCCCCATATCATAACCTCCCTCCCCTTCCGTAGAATTAATGTTTGAAGCACATTGCACGGTTTTCAGTTTTCAGCATGCAGTGTGCAGTGTGCACTCAAGATTGAATTTGCAATTTTATATTTATTCATAAAATGTGCTCAGTGAACCCAACATCCTTTGTTACGATGTACATCTATTCATATTTCATCTGTTTGTTCGTCAGTGCCGTCGTTTGTCTGTTTTTTAGGGTGACGTTGAATTTACATTACAAAATTGGCATCATTTTGTAGGTGGCAACCGTTTAAAGTTATTTTTAGGATTAGCATTTCGATTTTTAAAGATTTTTATGTTTTAAACCAGAATTATTATTATATATTAAAATATTATCGCCCGATAGGTTCTTTGCCGTTTTTCCGTTTATTTGAAAGACAAATAGATAACTTAAATAAATACATTTATATTTGTAATATGTATTATATAATACTGCAAATACATTCCTTTGGTTGCATGAGCAGTTACAGAGTTAACTGCAATTTATTTAACAATACAATGAAACTTTCATTTTTATTTTATATTTTCCCCTTTTTATACATTTCCATTGTTGGGTATATTTGAAGGTATTGTTTTATAAATCCTTTATATTCTTTCTTCGAGATTAGTCCAGGGGTGAAAAGTCTACTTTGAAATTTATTCATATTTGCAATTATGTTCAAGAAATATCTGAGTTTGTGTCTGTTGTCTGTTGTTGTTGTTGTTGTTGTTGTTTCTGTTGTTGTTGTTGTTGTTGTTGTTGTTGTTGTTGTTGTTGTTGTTGTTGTTGTTGTTGTTGTTGTTTGTTTTTAATCTTTTTCTTCAGTTTTTAGTTTTTTTTTTCTGTTATGAACATGTTTGTTTCAAGTTTTTTCTTGCTTAGTTTTTTATGTTTGACTGTTTTTTTAGGTTTTTTTTTCCATAGCATATTTCAACATATTTTACATTCAAGCATTTCCACTTAACAAAAAAAATCTAATTTCCTCTTCGTGTTTTGTGCATTCCTTTTAGTTTGTTTTTAATATTTTTACATAAGGGAATGTCGTTGTAATTTCAAGTAACCCTCCATTTAAAGAAGACACGCCCTATTCACAACGGTACCCTTGAACATTTAATCTGATCGATAATGTAGCAGAAGTTTTCATTTCTTAGCTTGAAAAGTTGTTACTCCTAACACTGTCGTCTATTGCTTCTGCAGCAGAAATTCGAATCCATTTTTAAAGGTAAAAAAGGATATATTCTTAATCATACAAAGCTTTTAGAGGTACCGTTGTGAATCGGACATGACATTATAAATGGAGGTCGTAGTCCTTTGAACCTATTTTTACACAGTTTTGCATATATCACCTTTTCAGTAGTTATAAAATTCTTTTATTTCTTATTTTTAGCCATATTCTCATTTCTTCTTCTTTCCTCTAACCTTGCACTGAATCTTAATCTTGATTCCATCTCTTCTATTAAACTGTTTGCATGCTAAACCTTTGCAACATTTTTGCCAACCAGAATCTGGGTCAACAGTCAAGGTCGTGCAGATCTTATCAAAAGCTTTGTTTTGAGTCAAACTCTTGCTTTTATGCATAAATTAACCTAGAATTTAAAATAATTAGCACACTGCAAATTCTTGGCTCACGATTTTCATTTTAAATCCATTAACTTCATTACTGGAGTTCTACTCTTTTGTTAGGTTACACCTTAAACATAATCCATTAACTTCATTACTGGAGTTCTACTCTTTTGTTAGGTTACACCTTAAACATAATCCATTAACTTCATTACTGGAGTTCTACTCTATTGTTAGTTTACACCTTAAATATAATCCATTAACTTCATTACTGGAATTCTACTCTATTGTTAGGTTACACCTTAAACATAATCCATTAACTTCATTACTGGAGTTCTACTCTATTATTAGGTTACACCTTAAATATAATCCATTAACTTCATTACTCGAGTTCTACTCTTTTGTTAGGTTACACCTTAAACATAATCCATTAACTTCATTACTGGAGTTCTATTCTTTTGTTAGGTTACACCTTAAACATTTACACCAAGACAAGAGTTGAGCATCCTTTCATCCATTCAAGGATATTTAGCTGTTAAGTAGCCCCAAAAACTCTTAACATATCCAACAAATTTATTCTTGACAAGTTGGTTGTTTTTTAATTATACAAAATGTTAACTTAGAGAGGAGATTTAATCCTGAAGGAAGAAAACCAAATATTTCCCTTACACCATTTCTTCAAGTTTTCGGACAGTGGAAAAAAAAACTTTATAGAATGAACAAAACATTAGAACTTAATGAATTATATATCAATTTTTATAATTTTAAAAATTAAGTTTTTTCTATTGTGGGTTCTCTACTAAAGTGACTTGCGCATTTTTGCTGCAGGAAAACATAGGAATTTTCAGATTAAAACACTTTTAAACTTAGTAAAAGGACAATATTTACCACATTTTATTATAAGTATAAAGGTTAAAAGGGTACCGATGTGAATTGGGCATTGCCATCCTTGAATGTAAGGTTACTTAAGATTACGCTTATAGTTCCCTTCAAAAGTGATGCCCAACTCTAACCAAGAGGCATATTATGTGAATGCAGTGCATGTTTGTACATTTCGCCACGAGCGCTTGTCTTTAAGAATCCGCCTCTCAATTTGCATTAAGTGAGTGCTAATTCATATCATTGTTTGCGAAATCTCAGAGATTAGAACTTGGAGCTTGGAGCTCTAGTTTGCTAATATATAATTCAAGATTAGAATCATTCACATTGACAAGAACGATTAGCCTTGAACAAATTTAAACCACAGAGTTGGTAGAGGAGGTGTTTGTATAGCCACAGAGATGGTAGTAAGAGTTTTTTTAGCCATAGATATGATAAAAGATGTGTTTTTTGAACCACATAAATGGTTGAATGAGGTGTTTTATCGAACCACAGGGATGTTGAAAAGAGGTGTTATATCGAACCACAGAGATGGTAGAAAGAGGTATTTTATCAAACCACAGAGATGGTAGAAAGAGGTATTTTATCAAACCACAGAGATGGTAGAAAGAGGTATTTTATCAAACCACAGAAATGTTAGAAAGAGGTGTTTTATTGAACCACAGAGAAGTTAGAAATTAAACTAAATTAAATTGAACTACAGAAATGACAGAAAGAGACTTCGGGTTGAACCACGGAGACGGGAGGAAGAGATTTGTTTTAGCCACAGAGCTGGTAGAAAGCTTTTTGTTTGAATCACAAAGATTTTAACCAGTTTTTTCCATTATGAACAGTGGTTTATGATTTCTTTAAAGATATTTAGGGGAATTTTTTTATAATTTAAACCCATGTTAGATGTTTAATAATAAATATACTTCATTACAACTGNAGGAAATAAAAGTAATCTTCCGTCGCTTCTTCCGTTGACGACTTCCCCCTCATATTACTCATATTGTCTAAAATATTCATAAGCTTTCCTCTACTTCCTTTTCTTTATTACGCACTCATGAAGTATGTATACTGTACTGTACACTGTACATGTAATGTTTTTATTTTAGGTAAGTGTACTGCAACTGATAAGCTGTACACCAATGTTACGGACATGTTGATTGTACACTGTACAATGTACAATGTACTGTAAACTTGAAATTGAACAGTTGATTTTAAATTTAAGTTCGGGGTATTTATAGAACCAAGGATGGTGAGCTATCTTTAAAATATTATAAATTAATGGAAAGAATGATTAACAAGGTATTGGACTTTCCAAGTAAGGTAGAGGGAACACTACCCTCGGCCATTGATTCAGTTTAATTCTAGTACCGGTACCAACCACACTTCTTCTACTCAGGGTACAATTAACACTAATTAACATTCAATAATTTTCTTTACTCAGCTCTAAATCAAACATGGATAACACAAACGAGAAAAACTCAGAAGATTTTATTATGAAAGATTAAAATTAGTCGACTCCTCAGCAAGATATCCAAGAAGATTAAGACAAGAGGAAGGCTAGTCTTGAAATTAAACGCGATTGAAACCTGATCAGAATGGGATGAGAAGAATTTTTAAAGTGAACTAACTCAGGGATGAAACACTAACTGACGAAACGAAATGGATTGAAACTATGATTGAAACTCAGGGATAAAACTATGATTGAAACCTAGAGATGAAACACCATTTGAAAATCAGGGATGAAACACTATTTGAAACTCAGGGATGAAACACTATTTGAAACTCAGGGTGAAACTATGATTAAAACTCAGGGATGAAACTATGATTAAAACTCAGGGATGAAACTATAACTTTAACTTAGGAATAAAACTATAACTTTTAACATACGGATGAAACTATGACTAAAACTCAGGGATGAAACTATAACTTTAACTCTGGGATGAAACTAATACTTTAATTCTGGGATGAAACTATAACTTTAACTAGGGATGAAACTATAACTTTAACTCAGGGATGAAACTATAACTTTAACTCAGGGATGAAACTATATCTTTAACTCATGGATGAAACTATTACTTTAACTTAGGAATAAAACTAACTTTTAACATACGGATGAAACTATGACTAAAACTCAGGGATGAAACTATAACTTTACCTCAGGGATGAAACTGTTACTTTACCTCAAGGATGAAACTATAACTTTACCTCATGGATGAAACGATAATCTAAACTCAGAGATGAAATTCTGGGATGAAACCAATTATAATTCTGAATGAAATATTGTCAATTTAATAAGTTTTCACACACCTAGTTTTATCCTGGATATATTGGTTAACCAGACAATTTAAACCAGGAAATATGGAAAACCTTTGATATATACTCTAGCCTGAAATTCCGCCCCCTGATTTTAAATAAATAGTGCAATTATGTATTATGCAAAGTCCTGTAGATCTTTCATATAAACAAAACTACCAACTTTTTTTCCTGTCTAATATAACAATATTATATCTATAGAAAGGCTAAAACCCATTCTGCCCTAATATCTTAAAAGTCCCTAATATCTTAAATACCCCAATATCTTAAAAGACCCCAATATCTTAAAAGATCCCAATATCTTAAAAGGCCCTAATGTCTTAAAAGCCCCTAATATCTTAAAAGGCCCTAATATCTTTAAAGGCCCTAATATCTTATAAGACGCCAATATCTTATAAGACCCCAATATCTTAAAAGACTCCAATATCTTAAAAGAGACTAATATCTTAAGAGACTAATATCTTAAAAGAGACTAATATCTTAAGAGACTAGTATTTTAAAAGAGACTAATATCTTAAGAGACTAATATCTTAAAAGAGAATAATATCTTATAAGAGGCTAATATCTAAAAAGAGACTAATATCTAAAAAGAGACTAATATCTTAAGAGACTAATATCTTAAAAGAGACGAATATCTTAAAAAATACAAATATCTTAAAAGATACTAATATCTTAAAAGAGACTACTATCTTAAAAGAGACTAATATCTTAAGAGACTAATATCTTAAGGGACTAATATCTTAAAAGAGACTAATATCTTAAAAGAGACTAATATCTTAAAAGTGACTGATATCTTAAAAAGCTCTAATATCTTAAAAAGCCCTTTATATTTTAAAAGCCCCTAATATCTTAAAAGCCCCTAATATCTTAAAAACCCCTGTTATCTTAAAAACCCTTAATATCTTTAAGTAGTTCTTCTTAATGAAGCACGTAGACTAAATGTGCAAGGGCACATAAACTATTAATCTGTTACTTGCAAAACTATTCTTTGTATGAAACATTCTCGTTACGTGTTACTGTATTAGTCATATTTTTAATCTAATAACCATCGGAAAAGGGGGCCTGGGTCCTGGACCCCCTTTTGAACCCCTGAATTTTCAAATGAAGAAAGTTAAACATGCAAGGTCGAATGTTAAAGTCTTAAAGAGAATTAATGAACTAATTAATTAGTCGCTAATTTAAACTCTTTCACCTTGACACTAATTTCAGCCATTTGTATTTCATTCGGTTTCCAAACCATCAAGATCGTTGATAACATCTTTTTGCAGACTTTTTGTTCTTTTTGGTAATTCAGACCAAGGTTAAATAAATTTCTGTATTCCAGTGTTAAGAAGGAGATCACAAAAATTAAAAATATATTTATAAATAAAAAGAAATTTTTAAAAATTGTAATGCCCTTCCGGGTTCAAGCTAAAGGGACCATTTAGATTGATACAGGTTGGAAATATACCTTTAATCCTTTGTTGTATAGTTTCCCTTTAAGTCTGGTTGTTGTTTCTAAACCACCTGCCCCACACCTTGGAGTCTTCTTCGTATATAACCTAACCTTGCTTAGGCCCAGTATTCATTAATACATCCTCCGGGGGGTAGTGTATAGTCAAGATACAGGGGGACACAATAAACATGAGAATTGAGTGACCGACTTCGGAATCGCTTTCAATACTTTGATCAAAAGACATAATAAAGTTTTGACTGCTAGCGATGACTTTTGTGCAAACGGTATAAAAGGCTGTTTTGTTGTTCTGAAAACTGTATGACGTGTTTGTAATATATCTGCAATAATTAAATACAGGCATTTTTTATTTTATAGCAGTGCAAAAGTATTAAATCTAAACAAAAACTAACACATTCTTAAATTTAGCAGACGAAACATTCTACAGATAATTGCCTTTATTTTTTAATTGGACACACGTTTACGTTGTCGTATACAGGGTCTGGGTCAGTTTGTAAACAAGTAAATAGATCCATTGATTGTATTTCGAGAAGCCTTGTTTTTGACTCACGAAAGTTTTTGCTTCAATCAGATAATTGTATTGTTATGTTTGTTTGAATTAGATGTTTAGTTTTTAAATAATAAAATTAGATTTCGCACACAAATATTCAAATTTTATAGGTTTTTTCGATATAAGTTTTTTTAAAGTTTGTTTTTGAAAATTATGTTGAGAGGAAATATCAAAAAATTTTAATTCAACAAACCCTCGGAAAGAATTACTTTTTGATTTTGGTCTGGGTCTTCTCTTTAAAATGTATGAGATGTATGGTTTTCTACCTCCTCTACCTCCCTATCTTCCTCCTAGAATAGTCATCTATTGATTAAATATCCATCATCAGCTGTTTCATAGTTTCATCATTTTGCAGAATTCTCAGACTACAGTTGATTTCTGATTATGGTCAGACAAAATATCAGTGAAAACAAAACAAAAATATAAGAAATCTGATCCAATAGAGATGGGAAATGATTCAATATTTGAAGTATCAGAAAAAATTGGGTAATTCATGAAATCCAATTTTCCCGCCATAAAATTTCAATCGGAAAATCCGCCAAAATTTGAAGTTTACAATGTTCAACGCCGTGTTTCGTGAGATGATGTCGGACCCGTTTATGATGCCGATGGCCCCGGTACAACCTCAGATTGTACATCCGGTCCAGCATATTGCCAGGATGGTCCAAATGATGGACACGATGATGGTGCATGACTCCATGGCCTCTATGAGGCCGGTAAGAGAGGTTGAGATGAGAATATCCTCTAGACCTAACGTTTATCCAGTTCAACAGCCTGCCATGACTAGACAATCTAAACCTACTGCTGCCAGTAAACCAACCAAACCACCAGAATCATGGACTGTTCCTAAACCAACTAAGGAATACATTATGAAATTTATATTAATTTTTAATAGTGCTTATTACCTTTTCGGCAAACTTCAATAATTTCGTCAAATGCTCTACAGTTAGAACTATATAAGTTCACGAAGGATTTTGCTATTTGNTTAAGCCATTTTTAGTTATATTTCATAATCCTGCAACAGAGCCGAGAGGAGAGGTCTGGAGGTGCAAGTGAGGGAAGTTGGAAGAATTCTCTTCGACAAGGAGAGAAACTTCTTCCAGCAATAACCAACCCTAGTGCAAGGTAGAAATGATATAAATTTATAAAAATTTCGTGTTTTTTTTTTCCTAAAGGGGAGTGTAGAGTGTAGGCTATTTTAAATTGACCCTTTATTTACAGAGTGGTAGACCAATTCAAAACTTAAATCTTTAAACCTGTATTTGATAAGTTATGTTGAAGATATTGGCATCTTTCTATCTTTATACCTGTATTTGATAAGTTATCTTGAAGATATTGGCATCTTTCTAGCTTTAAACCTGTATTTGATAAGTTATCTTGAAGATATTGGCTTCTTTCTAGCTTTAGAAGTGTTTAATACTGACAACTTTCTCCATTGTTTCTGCAAGCGGAAAACAGAAAGTCTTTTCCTTACAAAGAAACTTCAATTTAAATAATCAATTTTCAAAGGGAAATTCCTTATCATACATAGCTTTTAAGGATATCGTTGTGAATTGGGCATGCCACTACTTTAATGGAAGAGCCGCTTAAGATAACGTCTACAGTCCCTTTAATACTAATTAAGGAGATAAACCTCATATTGTTGGCATGCAAATTTAAGATGGATCCTTGGAAGGAAAAAATATTCCGTTAATTTAGAATTTCAAGAAAACTTGTCTCACACAATGCACTTTTCTAAGAATATATTTGACCTAATTTTGCAGAATATTTCATGATGATATAAAGTTCGAATATTTCTTTTTATCATCATTTTGTTTTAGAAGAACAGATCGTCTTAGAAAATCCTCTTCAGACTCTGCTTATAGTTCAGATAGGTAGAATATTTAGATTATTAAGAAACTGATTACTTGCCTCAAACTCAAATACTAAAATCTTAAATCTTTGCTAAATGGGATTAGATAAAATGATAATCATTTAAACTTAACGTGGACGAATTTGAACCTTTTCTTCTGTGTGCAGGATTAGGTTTTAAGAGAAGTGGTTCAACTAAGTCTAGATAGTTCAACTAAGTCTAGATAGTTCAACTACGTCTAGATAGTTAAACTAAGTCTAGACAGTTCAACTACGTCTAGATAGTTCAATTAAGTCTAAATAGTTCAACTAAGTCTAGATAGTTCAACTACGTCTAGATAGTTCAACTACGTCATGCTATTAATTAAATCTGGTCCCTGATGGTGTAAAGCTATGATATTTCAATGCTTTCTTGATATACCAAAAGTCATAGTTTGAAATATCATAGGCCATAATTGTCTTCTCTTTTTAACAACAAAAATGATTATAAACCATGGATTCAACGCAATTATTTTTTCCCTTTAGGTGTATAGGCTGAAACTTAAGCGTTTCAGGAGTTGATCAGCCCCTTTAATTTTTCCTTTACAGTCCCTTTAAGCTATAAGAACTCACTTCATTTTTGCCTTGGTAAATTCATTTCAAGTTTGGGGGGGTGGATAGTAGGACCTCCCTAACAGCCTGATATTGATTTGAGTTGATATGTTATTCAGGAAGATCCGAAGGGCCCGAAGTATAGAATATTCTAGTCGACCAACTCCTGTCCCTGCATCAGCCACAGACGAGAAGAGGACCAGGACGAGGACAAGGACAAGGATTAGGGACAGGTCTAAGACAGGGACAGCTGTAGGAAACAAGGACACAGATAGAAGTTCAACAGGTACTTTACATAAGAAAGTCTATTCAAGGAATAATGAACTAATTTAAAGGGACTGTAGAGTGGTGCAGACGTAACTTTAAGTAATTTTCCATTTATAGTGTCCGATTCTTAATGGTACCCTTTTAAAGCTTTATAATAAGAAAACTTTACAAGAAACAGGATGAATTTTGTTGAGATTAGTTAGGAAATGAATTGGTTGATGTGCAGACATTGAAATATATCGATTTTAAAAAGGATGAATGATAATAAAACAAATGAATATCTAGGAAGCAGTAATGGAAGAATATCAGAAGATGACGACGTTTCATTTGAAGAAAAACCGTACAGGTAATCCCTTTACCCCTCCCCATCAGTAACCCCCTTTAACCCTCCTTTTCTTCACCTTCCCATCATTATCCCCCTTTTCTCCGCCTTTTCTCCGCCTTCCCATCATTTACCCCCGTCCCCTTTTCCTTTAAAATGGAAGATCGCTTGAAGCTATGTCTCAAGTCTGATAAAAGAATTTTGTAAACATTCTCTCAAAGTTTATTCTTTTCCGACCTGGCTTCCTAACTAACTCCCTTCTTCTCTCTTCTTGGGCTTCCTGACAAGGTTTCCTTCTTTTTCATTCCTGGCTTCCTGACTAGGTTTCCTCATTTTCCATTCCTGGCTTCCTGACAAGGTTTCCTTCTTTTCCATTCCTGGCTACCTGACTAGGTTTCCTTCTTTTCCATTCCTAGCTTCCTGACTAGGTTTCCTTCTTTTCCATTCCTGGCTTCCTGACAAGGTTTCCTTCTTATCCATTCCTGGCTTCCTGACAAGATTTCCTTCTTTTCCATTCCTGGCTTCCTGACAAGGTTTCCTTCTTTTCCATTCCAGGCTTCCTGACTAGGTTTCCTTCTTTTCCATTCCTGGCTTCCTGACAAGGTTTCCTTCTTTATCATTCCTGGCTTCCTGACTAGGTTTCCTTATTTTCCATTCCTGGCTTCCTGACAAGATTTCCTTCTTTTCCATTCCTGGCTTCCTGACTAGGTTTCCTTTTTTTCCATTCCTGGTTTCCTGAAAAGGTTTCCTTCTTTTCCATTCCTAGCTTCCTGACTAGGTTTCCTTCTCCTTTATTAGTAATAATGAGAAAAGTCTGGGTTCTTCTGCTTTGTAGAGATAACAAGGAGGCTTATACAAACTTCACTCACAACTTTAGCTTCAGGGGTTCCAGGATAGGATGCTCCTCGGCTAAGAGGGGGGGGGACCCCAACAAAAAAAAAATATAAATTAAAAATGTATATTTCATTTTAAACCCCCATCTCGCTCCCCCTATCTAGAAAATGTAAAGGTGCACATTTAATGATTACATGTTTTAAAAATACTGTGCAGCTACGTTGTTCAAACAAAATTTTAATTCAAATATTTAACTATGATCAATATTTGGATTAAATTGTCCGCTACAATTAGAATAAGTAAGCTATTTTAGAATACAATTTAAAGTCTAAATAGGGTAAATGTTTTTGAAACTTTAATCTATATTTTTACAACACAGATTTTCTGTTTAGAAATACAGTTTACATTTTTTAAAGTAAGAAAATCCTTCTAAAATCTTCTTCAATAAATTTTTACGTAATTTTAAGTGATCCACAATTCGAGCAGTTTCTTTACCATTTCAAAAGGTACTCTTAAACCTTTAACAAAGTAACAATTAGAGGTCCTTGTATTTCTGTCTAACAATTGATAATTTTAAATTGAGGTTTCTAATAATTATGTGAATTGCGGATTTTGGCAGCAGATACTAGGGAGGAAATTGATTGAAATACGAGGAAATTTTCCTCATTGTTACTCAGATAATGAATTAAAGGATTCCTTTCTGATTCGGACTCTTTAAAAGGGGTTGTCATTTGAATTTACGTGAACAGTTAATTTAACAAATCTTTATTAAGGAGGAAGGAGGAGAAAAGGTTCCGAGGGGACGGATATGAACCCCACCTCGTGGAGACCCTGGAGAAGGATTTGTTAATGAGAAACCCAGATGTCAAGTGGAAGGATATTGCAGGAAACATCTCAAAACTTTATTCTAGATTCAACCAAACCAAACTTTATTCAAGTTTCAACCAAACCAAACTTTACACTAGCTTTATCAAATCCAAATCTAATTCCAGCTTTAACCAAACCATGTTCTATTTAAGCTTTAACCAAATCAAGCTAAATTCTAGCTTCAACCAAACCAAACTTTATTCTAGCTTCAGCCAAGCCAAACTTAATTCTAGCTTTAACCAAACCAATCTTTATTCTAGTTTCAACCAACCCAAACTTTACACTAGCTTCAACCAAACCAAACTTAATTCCTGCTCCAACAAAACCGTACTTAATTCCAGCTTTAGCCAAACCATGCTCTATTTAAGCTTCCATCAAACTAACTTAATTTTAGCTTTAACCAAACCAAACTAAATTCTAGCTATAACCAAACCAAACTTTATTCTAGCTTCAACCAAACCAAACTTCACACTAGCTTCAACCTAACCAAACTTAATTCCAGCTTCTATAAAACCAAACTTTATTCTAGCTTTTACAAAACCAAACTTCACTCTATTTTAACCAAGCTAAACTTAATTTCAGAGATAACCTAACCAAACTTAATGCTAGTTTTAACCAAACCAAATCTAGATTCAACCAAACCAAACTTTATTCTAGCTTCTACAAAACCAATCTTTATTTTAGATTCAACCAATTCAATTATTATTCTAGTGTCAACCAAATCAAACAAGCTTCTATAAAACCAAATATTATTCTAGATTCAACAAAACCCAACTTGATTCTAGCTTTAACCAAACCAAACTTTATTTAAGCTTTAACTGAACCAGATTTTTCTAGCTTCAACCAAACCAAACTTTATTCAAGTCTCAACCAAACCAATCTTTATTCTAGTTACAACCAAACCAAACTTTATGATAGCTTCAACCAAACCAAACTTCACTCTAGCTTTAACCAAACTAAACTTAATTTCAGAGTTAACCAAACCAAACTTAATGCTAACTTCAACCAAACCAAACTTTATTCAAGTCTCAACAAAACCAAACTTTATTCTGGCTTCAACCCAACCAAACTTTATCTCTAGTTTTAACCAAGCCAAACTTTATCTAGCTTCTACCAAGCCAAACTTCACTCTTTCTTCAACCAAACCAAACTGAATCATAGCTTCAAAAAAATATTATCAAAACTCTTTTGCTCCAAATTTGATTAAAATTTCTTTCAACCGAAATTTTATAAAAACCAAAAATAAACCAACATTTTTGATAATTTTGAAATTGCACTTTGATAATGTTGAATGTTGATGCATTAAGAATAAGAATAGAAATTCATTATTCCCTGAGGATAATTCTGTATTCAACAAGTTTGTTATCTTGAAAGTTTATAAGTTTGCCCACTCCCAACTTCCCTCCATACTGTGCATTGTAAAGATGAAGATTCAAATATATTTTCTAAGATATTTGAATATCTATAGAAGAATATTACACAAAAAAGTTATTGAAAGAAATATACATAATTTTTACTTACATTTTAAGAAAAAAATGCATTGTACACTGCACATATATTTTTAAGATTCTTATTATGAATTTATCTTTGGTCGAATAGGGTTTGGTATTTTTAATCTTCCCAAATTTACTTATTACTAGTTAAAGGGTCCGGCCCGCGTTACAAGTGGACAGTTTGAAAACTCGAATTTTGTAAAATAACAATTTAAAAAAATTAACTTTTGAAAAAAATAAGATTTTTCAAGTCAAAAGTTAACCTTCGGATACCCAAGGGTTTCCTCCAAAAAATTTCAGCTAATTCGGTTTAGCGGTTTGGCCATCTATATCTGACTTATAAGAGCAAAGGGCTTTATTTACATATAGATTACATGAGTAAAACTGATGTTGATGGTGTAGGTTTGCATGATGCTAAGGCCCTGCTGCAGGAGGCAGTAGTTCTGCCCCTGATCATGCCGGACTTTTTCAAGGGGATCAGGAGACCATGGAAGGGAGTTCTCATGGTCGGACCTCCAGGTAAATCAGAAGCTTTTACCCCTCAGTTGCACTGCTTAGGATCCGCAAGATTTTGGTTTCCCGGATCCGGATCCGCAAAAATATGCGGATCCACGAATTCGGATCCAATGGGCAAAATATCAACCAAAAACTGCAAAAAAAACTGTTTCACTGTTTAAACCCAAATCTGAACTGTAATAAAAAGAAAGATAATACAAAGGAATTAAGTCTTTGTCACAAAATATGATTTTCTAATCTTTATATCTTTACAACCCAATGCCGTCGTAGACCTTAGATATATCAAACTATGAATTCTGTTAGATGAAATATCTAAGTTTGAAATATCAAAGGTTTACACCATCAGGCCGAAAATATATAGGTATTAGAAAATTAGAGTTTGCTACAAAGACTCAATTCCTTTCCTGATCTTTGAATGGTTCAGTTTTTGCGTGAAAATAAGTGGACAAAAAGAAGATAATTTGACCATTCTGCTTTATTAAAAAAATCAGTAAATCTTAAAGAAATGTGTATGACCTGAACTCAAATTCATTTTTTCAGTGCGGATCCAGGATCCGAATCCGGATCCGGATCAAAATTAAATGAATCCTAATCACAGGTCAGGGTGTTGTGAAAGGGGAGTACTCCCCCCCCCCCCCAACCCTAAGTCTCAATTATTATATGTTGTATCTAGGAACTGGTAAGACGATGCTGGCTAAAGCTGTTGCTACGGAGTGTAAAACTTCATTCTTCAATATATCCTCCTCCTCCCTCACCTCTAAATTTAGAGGGGAATCAGGTAAATTCAAGAATATTATGAAAAAAATGAAATTTTAATTTTTTGTTTTAAATTAACTTTCTTATGTTTTCTCTTTACTGGGTAAAATTTTTAGCTGCAGGCTTGAGTAAGACTGCCTGAAGTATATATAGATGTTGTATATTATGAATATTATATAAAATCGATATCTAATTTATCATTCTCTGTGCATTGTGCACCAATCCTCTGCAAAATTGCTCAAGGGCAACACTTTCATGAACATAAAAAGACCTTTCATTAAATTTTATTTTGAAATGTTGATATTATAAAATCTAAAATTATTGTCTTACCAAATCAAAAATGGATTCCAAAAATCTTAAAATCAAGAAATCTATTTTACAACCCAAACTTTGCAGATAAACCTACTGGGGTTCTCCACCATGATTAAATCATATCTTTGAATGCATTTTTTCATTTCAGATTATTATAAAACTTTAAAAACTCTGTATAAAGCTTATGATGTTATGGAACATACTTTCCCCCCACATATTTCTTGGGTTTTTAATGTTTATCATTATTTAGTTAGCACTACTAGGTTGAACATTTTTTGGGATTTAATATAGATTTTCCCTGAATTTAGCAAACTAATTTAATAACTATATTTTAGAAAAACTGGTGAAACTCTTGTTTGAGATGGCGCGCTTCTACGCGCCGAGCACAATATTCATTGACGAGGTCGATTCACTTTGCTCCACCAGAGGTTCAGATTCAGAACACGAGGCCACCAGGGACACAATTGACATTTTACGTCAAACTAAAGTAAATTCCACATGAGATTGAAATTCCTCTAATTGAAAACTATTACTAAGAACAATAATGGTTTGAATATCTGATATATAACTGGATAAATTAGCTTTTCTCATACTTGTCCTGTTTAAATAAAACTAGAGGAGCTCAGAGGTTACAAAGTCCTCCCAGCTTAAATTTGACCGTCTCCTTCCGTCTAGGTTGCAGTGATTTAGGGTTTACTCCGGTATATATAGGGTAAAATAATACCAAGATTAAATTAAGATTCGCCTAGACCTCTAGGGTTAAAATACTACTAGGATCAGAGAAACACAGTTAAAATAATATTATATGAATAGGTTTCACCCAGACAAATAGGGTTAAATAATACAAAGTTAGATTAAAATTAAACCCAAACATACAGGGTTAACCAAACCTAAGTTTAGAACAGGATTTATCCTGGCAAATAGGATTAAGCAAAATCAAGATTATGTAAAAACAAACTTGTATTAGATCACGGTTCATTCAGTCATACATTTCATCATTAAAAATATACTGATTCCAAAAGTAATCGCTTTACTATCCCCCCCCCTCACCTTCGGCATGGCATATTTTTCTATTAATATTTTTTAGATTTATATTTGGTTGCAGTCAGTAGATCAATCTTAACACATTACTTTTACTCATGGAGGAGAGGTTTCGTGATCCAGTTTTATGGATGAGAGGTTTCGTGATCCAGTTTTATGGATGAGAGGTTTCGTGATCCAGTTTTATGTTTTGAAAATAGTATTATTTAGCAACTAAAGCCGTCAAAACAATTTTATCACTTTGTTAATGGACATTTGACGAATCTTTTTAAAAATTGTCTTTTACGTTTAAATGTACGCGTTATGTCAATTTTTTAGCAAATTAAACTTTTGTTTTTCCAGTCAAGGATAAGAACAAATTTATTTTTGAAGCTCGCATTGTTGGTTCTATTTATGACAGAAACTGGCAAAACTGTCAAATATTGGAAATAGAAAACTTTTATAAATATGAAATATCTCCAGTATATTTCAAACAATATTTTTATTAAAAGTAATCCGTTAAACATGTACATGCAAACATGTAAACATGTACAGTATAATGTAATAAGTCACTGACATTTTTATAAACAATATGATTGTTATAAAAGTTTCTAACTTTTTGTCGAATACATTTTAATCATAATTGTGTCGAATTAAGGAGATTTAAATCAGAGCTTCTTATACAAATGGATGGCCTAAGTGACTCAAAAGGTATATTAAAGCTTTTCTGCTATTACTAACCTTTTTAAAGATTTATTTTGAAACACATTAATAATTCCTGTAGCCTCTGTTTATTATGTGCATAATGTAGGTTTTATTTGTTCAAATAAAACTATTTGTTCCTTTATATAAATTTCATCAAAATTATAGCAATTTTTCGACCAATTATTTTCTTTGCAGAAACCGAAATGATTGCTTTGATTTAATCTTGCAACACACATTTCATAAAAGCCGGGGCATTTATTTTCTTCAATTAGACTTTGAACTGTAATTGGATTCGAGGCTTAAGCAGACGAGGGGGGGGGATTTTTTGAAAAATGAAAGATTTATTTTAGCGTTCCTAATATTTTTTTAAACATTTAAATTCGTAAAAGAAGTATACAATGTTTTTCCAGTGCAAAGTTCTTGAGAGAAGAATTTTAGATTACTTACTCGACTTGGTTTATTTTTTGTAAAAGATTCTCAAGAAAATTGAAAAATTTCAAGAATGCCAACTATTCAACATTCCGGCCAAATATGCGAGAAGAATGCAAGAAGAATGCATCCTGGGGATTGTAAAGAAATGCATTTTGGCAAAAACCATTCAACGCGAAATCTGACAAATACTACAACATAGTAAAATTTTCATTGTTTATTTTATTTTGTTGAACAATGAACATAGTTTCCCCAAGATTTATGGGTTTATTTAAGGGGTTTAATGCAGTTTTCATAAATAGCCTGAAAAACAGGTTTTAAACTTGCAGACTCGACTCATAAGGAAGTTGAATGAGTCACAGAGGCGCAAATGTGGACTGTTTTTTGGAGGGGGCACGGACATAGATTACTTATTTTCAGAGCAAATTAGGTCTTTTGGAGGGGGCACGGACATAGATTACTTATTTTCAGGGCAAATTAGGTTTTTTGGAGGGGGCACGGACATAGATTACTTATTTTCAGGGCAAATTATAAGAATTTCTATTTTCGAATTCGTGACATTTTTTTAAACTGTTTTTGCATTGTATTTTTGCATAAATTTCGGAGTATACAAAATATATTAGATGCATTTTCATGTAGATTAACTGAAATTAAAACTTGCCTCATCTCCATATTTTTGCAACCTAATGATTTGGTATTTCAAACTTTGACTAAGAGATTTAGCAGAATTCATAGTTGGAAATATTAATGGTCTAGGACATCGGGTTGCAAAGATAAAGATATTGTAAAAATGTTATGGCAAAAACCAAGTCCTCAATTTTTATTTATAAAAATAGTAAATATTTTTTTTATCGTAGAGCAAGATAAAGTTGTGATGGTGCTTGCTGCCACGAACCATCCTTGGGATATCGACGATGCATTTCGTCGACGATTTGAGAAGCGCATCTACATTCGGCTTCCGGACGAAGAGAGCCGGCAAAATCTTCTCTCCCTCAATCTGAAGGATATAGATCTACACCCGGAGGTACAGCGTTAAAGGGGGTGTCCGCGAAAATTTAGTTTAGATGAATCAACTGACATGTATATTTTGCTTGTCTGTCTGATCGTCCAAAAAAAAACTCTCAACAGCTAATCAAATTCGGATTAGATCGCTAATAATTTATTTTCTATCTGTTGCGTTTATAAGGGAAAAATGGTTGAAAACGTTTTATGTCCATAAATTGCATTTACCACTCACACCATACATAATTCAAATAACCGATCCTTTAAATATTAGATTACATAAATTTTGGATTTAATTCAAGTCATACGAATGTAGTCAACAACATACCAGGTTGATATGAAGTAAATGAAAGATTACATATATATATCCAGGTTGATATGAAGGATATATCTGAGAGATTATCTCTAAATATCCAGGTTGATATTAAGGATTTATCTGAAAGATTACATATATATATCCAGGTTGATATGAAGGATATATCTGACAGATTACATCTATATATCCAGGTTAATATGAAGGATATATCTAAAAGATTACATCTATATATCCAGGTTGATATGAAGGATATATCTGATAGATTACATCTTCATATATATATATATCCAGGTTGATATGACGGATATATCTGATAGATTACATCTATATATCCAGGTTGATATGAAGGATATATCTGATAGATTACATCTATATATATCCAGGTTGATATGAAGGATATATCTGAAAGATTACATCTACATATATATATATATATATCCAGGTTGATATGAAGTATATAAAAGATTACATCTATATAATATCCAGGTTGATATGAAGGATATATCTGATAGATTTCATCTATATATCCAGGTTGATATGACGGATATATCTGATAGATTACATCTATATATCCAGGTTGATATGAAGGATATATCTGATAGATTACATCTATATATCCAGGTTGATATGAAGGATATATCTGACAGATTACATCTATATATATCCAGGTTGATATGAAGAATATATCTGAAAGATTACATCTATATATATCCAGGTTGATATGAAGGATATATCTGACAGATTACATATATATATCCAGGTTGATATGAAGGATATATCT